CAATAGTTAGTGTTGATTTCATTGCTCAAAGATGAAGATGTTGTGGCTTCAAGAGAATTGTCCATTGTTGATCGAAAGTAGTATTTCTTTTCTTTGGTGCAAGGTAAGATCATCTAGAGAGTACATCTGACAAACCTTATTGTTTTCATGGTTGATAAGTGATCTTGAATTTGAATCTTGACAAAGACATACTCCAACAAGCTTGACAATAATTCAAAACACGTACTGACATAAAATATTCAAGATTCTTGTGATTCATATACATGGTGACTATGCTAAAAGTACCTTCTAGACAATAGCGCCATTCTTGAAACGAATCCATAATTGCAAGAAGTTCTATGTTGTGGATCTTGTAGTTGATTTTGGCTATTAAAAATTTTCTGGAATGAAAAGCTATTGGATAAAGTTTATCATTTGTTTCCATTTGTGACAATACGGCACCCAAAGCAAAGTCAGATGCATCTATTTCCATAAAAAATGGCTTAGAAAAATCAACACGATATAAGATTGGTGCAGAAACAAAGGTTGTCTTCAAAGCTTCAAATGCTACTTCCGATTCTTGATTCCATTGAAGTTGTCTTTACAAGTCAAACGTATAAGTGGAGCTACAATTTTAAAGAAGTCTTTGATGAAGATCCGATAGTAGTTGGCAAATCTTAAAAAGCATTGGATATCTCTTACCGTTTTTGAGATCTTCCAATCCATAATAGTTTGAACTTTCTTAAGATCGATCATAAGTCTATCATTTGAAATGATGTACCCTAAGAAGTTGACTTGAGTAGTATGAAATATACACTTTTCTATCTTGGCATAGAGTTCCGCATCTCTTAGTTTTTATAATACATGATGAAAATAAAGTTCATATTCTTCTATGTTCTTAGAATAGATTAAAATGTCGTCTAAGTAATAAACAACAAAATCATCTAAAAACTCCCAAAAGACATCATTCATTAGATGTTGGAATGTTGCTAGTACATTTGTAAGTCAAAAAGGCATGACATTGTATTCGAAATATCCATATCTTGTTCAAAACGCAGTCTTCCATTCATCTCCTTCTTTAATGCATACTAGATTGTATACTCTATGTAGATCTATTTTTGTATAGATCTTAGCTTGATTCAACTGATCAAGGAATCCAAATATCAAAGGTAGCGGGTACCTGTTCTTGATGGTGATTTTGTTGATTCCTTGATAATCGACATACATCTACAATGATCCATCTTTTTTCTCCAAAAATAAAATTAGAGCTGCTACTAGAGATTTAAAATGGCATATGAAGTTCTTGGCTAGATTCTCTTCAATATATTCCTTGAGTTCAACCTACTTATTTTGTGATAAATTGTAGATTGGTCCAAATGACGGTTGTGCTCTTTCTTAAAGGTCAATTGAATAGTCATAGAAATGATGTTTCAGAAGAGTATCCATATTTTTCTTCTCAAATATATCTTGAAAATCTTGATATTGGCTTGGAATGCCACTTGAAGTCTTTCTACCAGTAGAAATAGGTGTGGCATAAATGACATAAGGTGATCCTTCTTTTGCAGCATGCAAGAAAGCTCTTGCACCTAAAAATACAAGTTTAATTGTACTAGATTTATGACTTTCTACTTGATTAACTATGCTCTTAGTTATTCTTTCAAAAAAATCAAGACTACGAGAAGTCCAATCTATTTTAGGATTATATTTTTTAATCATGATAAACCTAAAATAATTGGATTAGAAGGAGATCTAATGATATTAAATATTACAAAGCTATTATGACCATTAGTTGTTACTTCTATAGGAAGGATTTCATGAGTAACATCTCATGAAGACAATGGACGACCATCTATGACTTCTACATGAACAGGTTTAGTTTTCTTCACTAAAAGTATGTTATATCTTTTAACAAATTCTTCATCTAAGAAACATGTTGAGGCTCCTGAATCTAACAAGGTAGAGGCTTTGTAATATTTATGTCCTAAAATAATATTTATCATAAAATGTTGAGGTCTACTTGTACGGTTCTCAGATCGAAATTCAAAAAGATAATTATTGCACTTCACAACAAAGTCAATTGCTTGACTCAATATTTGAAAATCAGATAAGTTGAGCATTAATTTTTTTTACTTCATATTATAATCCATAGAAAAATTGGCTAACAAGTGTAGCATCATCTCACTTGATATCAGTTACAAGTTGTCAAAATTGTGAAGCGTACAACGTTACTAATCGATTATCTTGTCACAAAATATTGATCTTGTTGGTTGCAACACGAATTACATCATGTTTTTCATACATGGATCAAAACTTTGCCAAAAAAGCCTCCAGATTATCCAATATTGAATCTTGTCATTCGAGAAAAGATGAAAACCATTCTAATGTTGAACCTGAAAGAAGCGTACTAATGATTCTAACTTGCGATCTTGAAGTTGGATAGCTTTGGGGTTAAAGTTCAATCACAAGTTGTACTTAATTGATAAATCCTCTAAACTTTGATCATGTGCCATCAAACTTCTTG